GATGTTGGCGGCACCGTTTCCTTCTCCAAGGGAGACATCGTCCTCTGCTGCCCACACCCTCCTTGTCGATGACAAAGTCCCATGCATGATCTAACGTGTAGGCTCCCTCGTCTCTGTTCATGGTTGTGAGTCAATGTCTCCATGTTTCTATAGCTTCCTTAATCCATCTTTTGTATTTTAGTTGTTCGGTGTTTATGATCCTTGTTCTGTGCCAGTCCATTACATGGTTTTCTCTTGTGCAGTGATCTGTTACGGCTGATGTTGTACTTTCTGCTTCATTTTGCTGCTCTTATTTGTCTTCGGCTTGTTTCCTTCTCACACTCCTTTCTATGTTCTGTTGTTCGTGTGTCGAGGTGGCGTCTACTGCAGAGTTTGCATGAGATTGCATGTATGACTCCACACTTATGTCCTGCTGGTATCTTGTCTTTTGGGTGTACTAGTCTTTTTCTAACTGTTGTGTATGGTTTTGTTAATGTGTTTATGTTGTGTTTTTCATTGTAGCTGCTTTTCTGTTATGCATTAACCCTCTGGAGGCAGGCGTTGCAGATTTGCAACGTTAAAACCTACCTACCTCGTTACTCCACATACGTATTTCATGAGCATTTTTTAACTCAGAAGTACCCCTGAAGGACTTAGTTGTTTGTCCTTTTATCAAAACTTATTTAGAGACTGAGAGGGTTAAATTTATGGAAGAGTTATCACTGGTTTTGGTTCTTGTCTTTCTGGATTTATGGTTCTTTGTTTTGGTTGTTGTTTTCTTTCTGTTGTTGTTTGTTGTTTTCCTTTGTTTATTGTCCATGTCGGGTATCCGCAGGTCTTTAAAGCATTTTGTTTATATTGGTGATCTTGTATACGGTCTCGTTCTTCTACTATGTTTGCTCGGTGGTATAATGTTCTGATCACTGACATTTTATGTACGGTAGGATGTTATGATGTCCATAATAAATATAGATCTGCGTGTGTTGGTCCTCTGTATGTGTTTATATTCCAGTTCCTGTGGCTTTGTCTAGTCATTTCATATTCAAGAACATTATACTGACTTTTATTTCTTACTCATATCTAAATTTTACATCATTTGTGTTGTCAGTGTTGTTCAGGTGTTCTGTTACTGTCTCTGTTTGTCCTTTTGGTATGATTTTAGCATGTCCTGACAGACAGGTCCTTTTCAGTTTGTAATGGTAGTGCCTCCTCTTCCAGAGCTCCTCTGTCTTGTGGAGTCCCGCAGGGTTCCATTCTTGGCCCCCTGCTTTTATTCCCCCTTTATTTGTTGCTACTAGGTGCCATTTTAGCTTGGCATCACCTGTCCTTCCACTTTTATGCTGATCACCTGCAGATTTACACGTTTTTAAAACCTGGCATTAGCAATGCTATCTGCTCACTGATGGCCTTTCTGCAGTGAAATAGTGGTACATTCAGAACTTTTTGTTTCTGAATGGAAAAAAAAGACTGAGTTAATTTTGTTTGATGAGAATGCCTCTGTTGATACCAGTACTCTGAATTTTATCTTTGGCAATACTGTAAAAAAAACTACGTGTCATTTTCTATAAGAATTTCTGTGTTGCAAACAAGTCAATTCAGTATTCAAATCAAGCTTCGATCACCTTTGTCTTTTAACTAAGGTTAAACCTTTTTTTATGCCAAACTGATCATGAGAAGGCAAGCTTTTATCAGCTCCAGGATCGACTACTGCAATGCTCTTTACTTCGATATTTCTCAGGCAACCCTCAGCAGGCTGCAGCTGATCCAAAACACGTCTGCTCGAATTGTAGCTGACACCCCCAGATGCGAGCACATCACTCTGATCTTGTCTGCCCTCCATTGGCTGCCCGTTCGTTTTTCAATAGATTTTAAGCTCTTATTGTTCGTTTTTACTGCTCTTTATGGTTTGGCTCCATCCTACATCTCAGACTTGTTGAGCTTCAGCACCAGCAGTAGATCCTGAAGGTCGTCTTCCCAGTTTCTTTGTAACATTCCAAAAACAAGATATAAACAGTGGGCCGTGGCAATGGCTTTTTGTTCTACATCCTCCGTGAAAAACTCACAAAGGGTGGCTGATAAAGGGTTACCAGTGGCAAAGCCTTCCAGTGGTTTATACATTGTTCTGTCGTATGTGAAGTATGTCGAGTTTTGCTACCAGTGTTATCAGTTGTGCTATGTTTGTGAGGTTTGTTCCTTTGTGTAGAGCTTGGTCCTGTCTGATTCTGTTAACTACTATGTCTATGGCTTTTTGGTTTGGTGTCTGAACAGGGATGTGACGTCGTGTGAGATGAGTAAGTCGTAGTCTTCTATTGTAATCTGTTTTAGTTCTTTTACCTAATACCAGGCTGATGATTCAGCAGATTTCTTTTGCCATGTTGTATGTTGGTGTACCTATGCTGTCTACTATTGGTCTAAGCGGGGTGTTCTGTTTGTGTATTTTTGGAGTTCCGTATATTCTTGGTATTATGTTTGCTGTAGGAATCCAGTCTTTGTACATTTTTCTGTTATTTAGCCTTTTTCCTGTAGTGGTTTCAGTAGTTTTTCCTGTTTTTCTTAATGTCTTCTGTTGGATCTTTTTCTAGTGTTTTGTATGTATTTTTGACCTCTAACATTTGTTCCATCTGCTGTTTATATTTTTCTTTGTCCATTACTATTGTGGTTCTTCCTTAATTAGAATAATGATGTGTTCATTTTTAGATAGTGCTGTCATGGCTGTGTTTTCTTCTTTTGTAACGTCACTGTGTTGTATCTTACTGTTCTTTAATATCCCAACTACATTATTTCTAAGTTCTGCTTTCCTTCCTTCATCTGTGATCTGTTGACATGCTGTTTTTGTTGATACAATAAATCTATCATATGACATGTGTTTCGGTGTTTTTGCAAAATTTAAACCTGTAATCATTCATCTTTTCAATTTGGTCACGTTCCTGTAGAGAGAAGCCAAACACTCACTAGTCTCACCACTAAAATGAGGCCTCAGATAAGCAATTTCTTTACCAGGCTTTTATTTTGGTAGGCTACTTCCATTTTTTATTTTCATCTAAACTAGCATGTTTTAGGGTTAATTTTACATGCTTAGATTTTGTTCTAAATATATGGTTTTATTCAAAATAACTGCTTCAACAGTAAAAAGATGAAAGATTAGCACACTGTAGGCCCATTAAAAGCTAGAGAGGTTTGATGGAAGTGTGAATGACTGTTGGAGGACTGAAGCAGCTCAGTGATGAGGCAATAAAGGGTCTTCGTCATCACTCTCTCCTTATTCTGCTCTTACTTATTCCGCCTTCCCCGCGATCCACTGATTTTCCTCTTTCCTATTCATTTTCTTTCTCCCTTTCCTTACATGATTTTTAATCGCAACTTTTATTTCTCTCTCATTTGAAACATATTTTAATCATTATTCGAAATCTTTTTCATACTTGAAATTTTTTTTTGTGAAGCGCCTCATGATTTTTATCTTGAGAGGCGCTATATAAAAGATTGTTTTCTTTCTTTCTTTCTTTCTTTCTTTCTTTCTTTCTTTTTTCTTTCTTTCTTTCTTTCTTTCTTTCTTTCTTTCTTTCTTTCTCATGTGGAGCCGAGGCTTCAAGGTTCTTCCTAAGATGGATGGAGCCCGCAGTGAGAGACTCAAACCCAGCAAAGGGACAACGTGACGTCAGAGGTCGGTTATGAGCTGATTGGACTTGGTCTGTAGAAGCTGCAATATTAAGATCCCTAGGAGGAAATAGACTCGGTCTTCAGCCGTGTCCACCATCATTAGACGTTTTTGTTATTGGTTATCCAGCGTTGCCATAGAAACATTGTGTATCCCCTTTACAATCAAAATCCCTTTATAAATGAAAACTTAATATCTAGATTTAGTTTTAGCATAATATAATATAAAATAAACACTTTGCTTTAGAAAATTACAGATTAGTCAATAAAATATCTATAAACTATTTATTAGCCATTTAAATCTGGCTTTACACAGCTCTTTGGAGTCTTGTAGAACAAGGACAGTCATGTCAGTTTGGAACAGCTGATCATTACGAAACCACTAACTCTTATTGGGAAACAGGCACAACATGAGGAGTCAACGTAGTGCAGCAGAAACCACGTCGTTGTTTTTAGACCACGGCTGCTTATTCCTGGTCCTTGAGGGCCACTTCCTGCATGTTTTCTGCACCAACACACCTGGTATGAATCAATGAGAGACTAACAGGTTTCTGGAGAAGCTGAGGACTTGCTGATGAGGTGAGTCAGTCATGCCAGTCTTCCAGGTCCGAACTGAACAGCCCTGATTTAGACCATCAACATATATTACAATCCCATCAGTTAAATATAGAGATGGACAATGGGTATGTGCCTTCTGCCGTAAAACTGTGGCACTCTGACATTTGGCCACAGGAGCCTTAGGACCGTCCCACTTCCTCATCTGGTGGTTTTCAAATATCTAATAAATCAATTAGAAAAATGGGTAACTCTACCTTTTACAGTCCCCTAATTACTAAGTACTTACATGGTAATTACATAGTAAGTTATAGTGTATTATTGTTTCTGAGTTCTTAAACAGTTATTACCATGTAACTTAGGTTCAGTTTTTTTATTAATCATTCCCAGGATATACTGCTTTACATAATAATTACTCTTTATTACAATTATACACTTTAATTACACAATAAAGCACTTTAACTTACTATGTAATTACCATGTAAGTACTTAGTAATTATGGGACTGTAAAAGTGTTACTGAAAAATGAATGTTTCTTAACTCTGCCTTGTGTTGTGACCTTATATGACCTCAAAATAAAACCTGTTTAGGTTTAGTTCATCAAATCTTCCATTTTTTAAACGAGTCCAAGTCCCAACACTCACATTTCTAATTTCTTAATCCTTATGTTCTCTCTGATATTGATTCAGTTTTGGAATTTAATGCCCATTGTTATTATTTGACTGACAAAATGGAGTAAATCCTCCTTTTGCTTGTGTGGTGGTGCATTTCTCAGTGCACAAACGACACACTCCAACAGATTTCAAAGCTCATCATATATAAAACAATAATTTATTATGCCTCTCATTTTACAAGACAAATCGTGGGCTAACTAAAGATTTGTTAAGCTGGTTTTCTGCTTAATACAGGAAATTCTACGAAAGCAAACGCAACTACAGGAGTGTCCAAACAAAAACGCTTCAGCGTGCGGAACATTTTTCTGTGAATGTTCAAACATACACAGGGATACCACGCCATGATTGCTGCACAGGAAAACAGACGAAACATCGCTGGTGGTGTTTAACTTTGGGAGATCAGCACCGTTCAGGAGGATTTACAACAATAAACCTGATCGTTTCATACAAAATTAGCCTTTTTCAGTTTACAAAATATGTTGTGCTCTGCCTTTCTGGGAAAAAAATCATTGTTTACACAAAAACATAAAGTATGTGTAACTGTAAAATACTGACAAGAGATACATACACACATATATAAAGATATTTATATAGTACAAACAGAATAATGTAAATAGTGTAAATGCTGGCTGTTAAAGTTTGGCAGACGTTCGTTACACACTCGCAAACATTCCCATAAAGTCAACTGTTGTGTTTTTGTTGTTTCCAAAACTATTCAAAAGCTCAAAAGGTAAAAAAAAAAAAAAGACTGAAAACGGTTTTAAAAAGGATCAATATACAAAGTTGAGTCCTCTTCTGATGGAGCCGTGGAAAAGGTTTGTCCAAAAACGCTTTATTTACACAGAAAGTGTGTCAAGGAGCTGGCTCCACTCCTCACGGCTCACACCGTGGTCACCGACAGCAGGGAGTTGTAAACCCTCGTGCCATCCGGTGACTTGGTACCGTGGGTCAGCAGTTCCTGGATGGTCATCCAGTTATCAAATATTTTCTTGTTCCTCTTTTTCATCATTTTTTTATGGCTGAGTTCAATGATGTTAGGCTCTTTCTTGTCCTCGGTGCCGGGCTGGTCCTTCAGACAGTCGGCCCGGCTCTGCTTCATGAACTCACGGCGCTGCTTCTGCTCCTTGGCACGCACCGCGTGCTGCTTCCTCTCCTCCTTGCTCCAGTAGCGGCCCATCTTCAGCTCGCTGATGGCGTCATCGTCTGTGGTCATGCCACTGCGCTCCTCGTGGATCCGTATGGCGCGCTCCCTCAGCAGCTTGTCCCGAACGGGCCGCTTGGTGATGTATCTCGTGCCGTCGCTGCGGATCTTGACTTTCCACTCCATCTTGGGCTCCAGGTCGCTGGGGCTGATGGGATCTCGGCACATGCTGACCAGGCTCATTTGGCTCTGGGCGTACTCCACGGCTGACTTCTGTTGGATCAGCTGCATATAGCTTTGGTAGTGCTGGGCATGGGCGGGGATGTGAGCATGCTTGTAAGGAGAACGGGGTTGGGAAAAGCTGCGCCCGTTCTTACTTGGCTCTCCCAGCTTTCTCTCTCTGCTCTCGGACTGCAGAGCTCCATCAGGGTCCTTAGAGGAGCTTCTGCTCCTGCTGGGCACACTGGCCTCCTGGACAGGGGACAAGAGAGGTTTCAGCATCTTGCCGACAGAGTTGCTGGATGGTCCACCTGGGCCTGCATTCTCCACTCCTCGACGGAGGGAGTTATCTGGAGACAACTCCAGGGTGAGAGGAGTGCTACGGCAGCTCTCTCCGGTGTTGTATGCGCTGGAGCTGTCCTTGTCAGACTTCTCAGGCAGCTCTGTGATGTCTGAAAGCTCATGGCGCCTAGCATCTATGCTGGTGTTGTAGTTGCGGAAGCCGCTATTGTGGAGCATCCATGACTCTCGGCACTGCTCCCTCAGCTGTTGCATCTTGTGAGCTCGAACGATGTTGCGACACTCCAGCTCAATACAGCGCAGCTCCTCGTTAAGCAGCTCCAGCTCCTTGTCCACCCCTTCCTCCGCACCGGCTCCATGGCTGTACAGACCCTGAGCTCCACTGATCCCCATCTGACACTTCAGTTCCAGCAGTTCTCTGAAGCGTTCACATTCGTCCACCGGGATGCCCAGGAAGTCTGCGTCGGTGTAGTCTGCTGAGATGAAGGACTCGCTGCTGAAGGGCAGGTCGGTGCTGCCGAGCGTGTCCTGGCTGTAGGTCAGCTTTCTGCAGCTGCCCAGTGTGTTGGAGGCTGTGGTCGTCTGATCATCGGCGAGGTTCTCCTGCTCGGAGCTCTCGTCGTTGCGTATGCTCTCGTCTGTGCGTCCAACCCCACTGTCCTTCTCATGGTGGTTGGAAAGCAACGTGGCGGTGTCTGTGGTACCTCCGTCCTCCTCGTGCTTCTTCTGTTAAGACAAAAGTGATAAATTAAACTCATCTGAACTTGGAATGTTCTTGTCATACCAGCTTCTAAGCAAGAACAAATAAGCTCAGCAGAAAACTAAAAGCAGAAACTAAGACCAATCTATAATTCAGCAGCTTGAGGAGCCATGTTTGGTGGCTATTTTCTGTTTGAGTTATCAAACACACACATCAGCATCTCAATCATAATGAAGTCTGAACTTTGGAACATTGCAGCACCGGGGTTCATTTTTCACTCGGCTTCTCTGGTGAGGATCTGCTGCTGTGTCTGAGACCAGTGTCTTATTTTCAGTCACATATTTCTAATGTCCAAATGAGACTGACAATGGTGTTTGTAAAATGTCTGAAAACATTAGTGACGGTTCTCAGGTTCTTGGCATTAGTAATACAGCTACATTTAATAATATGATAAACAGTAAAATCAATTCAATGTTTCTACATGAGATATGTGAAAATGATGTCGTAAATATAGTAAGAAAACTTCAAAACAAAAAATCTAGATATACATGAAATTGATCTAGAAATTATAAAAGAGGTTATTTTTTCTGTTGCGAGACCGTAATGTATATAATTATAAATAGGTTCTTTTCCTAAAACTATTGAGCCAACAAAATGTTAGAAGTCAGAGTTGCACAACAGTAGGAGTCAGATTATGGAATACCTTGGACACTGGAATCAGGGCATGTAAAACTGTTAAGTCATTTAAGAAAATGTACGTCAAGAAGATGATGTCATACTACCATAATGACCGTATGTGAGCTAGTGTATCTGATAGATGTGAATGAAAATGTAATGTTCTTGCACAAGTTATAGTATTTAAATCTCTGTTTTGATCATTATCATACATTGACTCATTAAGATTACTGGTAGTTTTGTATAGTTGTCTTTAGTTCTGGGTATTTTTCCTCTCGCTGAATTATGGTTGTTGTTGCTCAATATATTTAAATTATTTATATTTTTATCTCACTCTCATTTTTATTATTACATTACTTTCATCTTATTATTGTCATTTCTTTTCTCTTGAGAAGTAATGTGATTGAGTAAATAGGGTAGGCATAAAGGCTTCAGCCTACACCTTGTTAGTTACTATAATTGAGATTCTGTATTACTGTGTTCTTTCTTTTCCTTTTAAATGACCAAAATAAATAAATAAACAAATAAAAAAATCCCAATATTTAAAAAAGGGGGATAAACATTCTATAGAAAAATACAGACCAGTATCAATTATAGCACAGTTTTCAAAAATACTAGAGAAATTATTTGTGAAGCAGCTGGATATATATCATTAAAAATAAAATATTGAATGATGGTCATTGTGGTTTTAGAGAAAACAGAACCACTACATGTGCAATAATGCAGATGGTAGAGGAAATAGCGCAAGCCAGTGGAAATAAAAAATTCGCTATCGTATTCTAGATTTAAAGAAGGCTTTTGATATCATTGACCACAGGAGACTTCGAAGAAGATGGAGAATTATTGACTACGAGGTATAGCAAAGTCATGGATAGAGAGTTACTTAAAAGACAGACAACAGCGTGTAAAAATGAAAGATAATTTGGATTTACAGGTGTCATGGATTTTATCAAAATGTTTATCAATAACCCATTTCCTATAGTGAAGAGAGAAGGAGACAATGAGCAGACAAGTCAAACAGTTATAACTGTGGCAAAATGCCGAAGCAAATGCCTCGAACATCTGTTCACAACGTTTATTTATAGGGAGAGATAAGAGGTAGAGCGAGAGTCAATGTGTGTGTGTATGAGTAAGTGAGCATGCAGAGAGCAATACATTACATCCAGTTGATTGAGTCCATGATCAGGAATTAATAAACAGATTTTTCCATAACATTCCCTCCTGTTTATCCGAATAGGATAATCCAACAGAAGGAAGCAACAAAACAAAACAAAACCAAATAAGGAAAAATAAAAAGAAGTAAAATAATAAGGAATTTCATCCACATCCATTACTTGTCACCACTAACTATGAAAGCTACATCAATCACAAAAATCAAATAATAGAAGAGGGGTACACCAGGAAAGGTGATCATCTCAGTAGTCATAAGGGCCAACAGGTTACAAATCAAACTTAAAACAAAAATGATAAGCATCAAAACAAGAAAAATAATAAGTTAAGTAACAAACACCACAATCAGATATAAAAGGTTCAGAATCAACTCGAAAAGGCAACACAGCATAAGGTGCTGAAATCATATGTCTATTGCGGATTGTAATCTTAATCCTGCTGACTTGTCCAAAGAATAATTCCATTCAAAGCTCAATACAAAAACAGCAAAAAAGAAGAACAAATATAATAATATTGATGATTCCAATGAAAAATAATGAGTACAAATAAATTAATAAACACAAATAAGGCAAACACAACTGACAATAACATCTTACAGCAGTTCACAGAGATAGAAAACAGATTCAGCTAAATCAACACAATTACAAACTTAAAAAACTATTCCATACATACTGAAACAAATTTACTGTGATGCACAATTCCACGACTTATGGCAGTTCCTGTAGGGAGATTGGGAAGGGTCAGCAAAACCATATAATACACAGAAAACATCAGTTCGGTGTATTGAAACATCAGGTGAATTTAAATCAAAGCTCCTAGGTGCAGACGAATCTTTCAGTGAAGGAGGAAAAATGAAGGTGTAATATTAATTTATGCAGCTTTAACTATGGCAGAGCTGAGGCAATCCAGGCGTTCTTCATCAAAGTGCTTGTCCGTAGACTGGGAGTCTTGGTTGGAGAATTGGTTTTAAAGTCAGAGTCCTCTTCCATTGATCAGGATGGTTTCAGTCTTACGCTGATAAGTATCTTGAAGTCCAGGTCCGGAGCGTAGTAAGGTAGTTCGGAACATGAAGTGCAAAGTTCAAATTCTCAGTAGGAAGACCTCAGGGTCCTTCCGTGGCGTGTCGAGGTGGTTGTCCAATTGTCAGGGAGCTGATCTTGTCCACGAAAAGGTCCTACAGGTCTTTGACCGTGAAACCAGTCTGGAGATTTGGGTGCAGGTGCTTGAGGTAGTTGATCCTTTTTCAGCGTCTCTTCTTCACTGTGTCTTGTTGTAGTTGTTTCCAAGTGGTCTTCAGCCGAGGTGGATGCAGGTTACGTTGTCCTGTAGGTGGGCTCAGGGGGAGCTCCAATCTGTCATTTCAGTTCCAGTTCTAGTACCCCCTCAAATACTGCTGTCTCAGGTGTTTCATCAGGTGCTGCTGAGAGACGGCTCAAGTGCAGGGCCATGAGTACGACCACCAACATCAACAATGTGGTGAACCCATGAATGAGATGTGGAGTTCCCAAGGGGTCTGTAATAGGTCCAAAACTATTTATTTTAGATAAATGACATACGCAAACACCACAGAAGTTTTCTAATTTATAATGTTTGCAGACAATACAAATTTAGTAGATGTAAAAAATCCTTTAACCCTCCCACTGTCCTAACGGGTGTGACCCCACGAGGAAAGTTGACCATTGAGCAGGGTTGATGGTTTGGGCAGCAGTAGCTCAACAGGTTGAGCGGGTTGTCCAGTAATCGTAAGGTTGCAGGTTCGATCCCGGCTCCGGACAGAGAATTCTGCTGTTGTGTCCTTGGACAAGACACTTAACCCCCCTTGCCTGCTGGTGGTGGTCGGAGGGACCGGTGGCGCCTGTGCTCGGCAGCCTCGCCTCTGTCAGTGCGCCCCAGGGCAGCTGTGGCTACATCGTAGCTCATCACCATCAGTGTGTGAATGAGTGTGTGAATGGATGAATGATACACTGTAGTGTAAAGCGCTTTGGAGTCCTTACTCTGAGAGGCGCTATACAAGTGCGGGTCATTTATCATTTATCCCTTGGGTCCACGTGGCAGGGGTGAGGAGTGAGCACCACTTCACCCCTGCCACATGGCCCTCAAGGGATAAACCATCAATCCTGCTCATGGTCAACTTTCCTCGCAGGGTCACCCATAAAGACAGTTGGAAGGTTAAAATGACTGAAAAAGGGTTAAATGTCCTCAAATCTTGGTTTGACGTGAATACATTATCACTGAATTAAAAAAATGGTATTTGGAATTAAAAATGTAAAAAATGGGGACTATAAATTTCATTTCATTTCATTTATTTATTTATAAAGCCCCTTCTGAGACCAGTGCAGATGCCCAAGGTGCTGAACACAACACAATAAAAGCATAAAACCACCACAATAAAATGTAGCAATCGTAAAACCAACATAAAAAAACAATTAAGAGAGAAGAGTAAAAACAAAAACTAAAATCCTGAAAAAGATTAAGAGGCCGGGGCTACGAAACCAGGTAAGAACTGCTAATCCTGGAATACCTTGACAAAAAAATGGGTCTTAAGGCAAGTCTTAAAAACCCCCAATGAGGGTGACTGACGCTCCACCAAAGGCAACTGGTTCCAAAGTGCAGGTGCCAACACCAAGAACGCACGGTCCCCCGTGACCTGCACTTGGTGCACCAACACATTCTCACACCCAAAGCGTCAAAATATGACGCGTGTGACCAAGCCTCAATATGACAATTCGGGATGCCATGCCCCAGTGTGTCAGGAGAGGACGCATTGAGGACGCACTGTCCCAGAGCGTCAGTGTCCGACGCCCGCGGTGAGACGGACATTAGAGCGACTTGTGAACTACCTAACCTTCCCCTCACCCCCATTCTAACCTTAACTCAGCAAAGTTACTGAGTTAAGTTTAGGATTGGGGTGAGGAGAAGGTTAGATCATGTAATAATGTCCGTTGGACCGCGGGCGTCAAATACAGACGCTAGTGGTGCCACGTGTCGCTGCGTGTCCCTGATCGCCCTCTCCTGATGCACAGGGGCATCCTGAATCGTCATATATTGAGGCTTGGTCACACGCGTCATATTTTGACGCTTTGGGTGTGAGAATGTGTTGGGTGCACGGAACCATCAACAGCTCCCTGCCGGCTGAGCAAAGGGCCCACGAGGGGGCATGTCTATGCAAAAAGTTGCCAAG